TAAAATAAGCACGTAACAAAAGTACTAAAATTAACCTAAAAAATAAAATGAAAACTGAAAATGTAAAAAAGCTATTGCAAAATAACTAAAATTATAACTGAATTTAACATTAAACATAACTAGGAATGTAAAAACATAGAAATATCAAAAGCATATAACACAATTACTAAAAAATAACCTAAAAAACAAAATCAAAATATATATAAATATATATAAAAAAAAAAAAAAAACTAAAACTGAAGTAAAAAATAAATTAAACATAAATAGTAATAATTAAAAAAAAAAAAACTCATAAAAAATAATGTAAAAGTACAAAAAAAACTAAAATGAAACTAAAATTAACTAACATTAAAATGAAAACTAAAAATATAAAAATGAAAAGCTAACTCAAAATATGAATTAAAACAACAATAGTATATAAATAATACTAAACTAACTCTGTTGAGAACTCGTGAAATATCCTGAGCCTTGAAAGAGCATCAGACGAGACGAGACATCAGCAGTGATTATTAAGCACATCACTGACTATATTATGAGCGTTTACAGACATTCATCATCGTGAAGTGTTCCTATAACAACTAAAAAGCTTTAGAGGAGAAACAAGCATCTCAACTCTATTCATATTTCATCAGCACAGAAGAGACCAAAGAGAATATCATGAAAAATTCACAACATTTTGACAGTGAGTTTGGTCGAGAAACACATCTACATGGATTATTATCACTGGTGTTTGTGAAGTCAACTAGTACTAGTGAATCGGGTGGTCTAGAATCCATGAATGATTCTGTGTTGTTCAGAAGAGGCGATCAGACGAACCATTTTCACCTGCTGGACCAGAAAACACTGAAAGAGAAACCAGAGCCAATTCTACAGGCCAGAACTCTTGAGCAGTTTTGACTCGGGCCAGTAAACAAACACCCACATCACTCCAGTTCTGATCACTAAGCTCCACTCACATTTTCTTCAGAATTTCATCTAGTTATTATTCAAATCGTGACTGATTCCTCTCAACAGAACACAGCAGATGCCGGACAGATATAAGGGCTGATCGTGTCCTTCAGCGCCGCTCGAGCTCAAAACGAGTGACAGAAAAACTCCCCGCAATTTCTATGAAACAAGATGAAAACGCTTCAAGGTTGTTCATGACAAATTCTCTTTCTCTCTCTGTATTTCTCAGGTTTTATAGATACAAGACCTCATTTAAAACCTAGTGAGCTGCCCACCTATACAGCATTTCTAAGAATCACAATGTAGGCGGCGATTTCATCTTCTAAGACACTTTGTTTTGGCCAGAATGTAAGGCAGTATTAATAAATATATCATAAAGAAAACAATCCCAGAATGTAGTGTGATGGGCCTAGTGAAAAGTGAGTGCATACTTAAATAGGGTAACTTGTAATCTGTAACCTATTACATTTCCAAAGTAACCTTCCCAACACTGTATATATATATATATATCTGTAATTCAGTACATACAGTGAAAGCATCCATTCATCCGGCCCTTGCAAAATGCAAAAGTGCGGTTCTTCTCAAGTGATGTGTTTAGTGTGCTTACCCTCCACGCTGAACGTGTCAGAATCACTCATCCCAAGCCCTAATAACAGACCCTGCAGAGGAACGAGATGCTCAGAGCAAGAGCAGCAAATCTGATTCTACAAGCCCAGTGCTGAATGTGTCTTTTGATGGGATGATCATTTCTGAGGGTGAAAGGTCAGAATTTTGAGCAGATCAGCATGTGGCAGCATCATGTCTGCAATATAAATGCACTTTTCCAATGTAAAGTATATCTATCCTCTGTAATGAGAGAAAACACAAACATCTGCCACTTCTGAAAAACGCTTAAAATCAGCATGACAACAAAACAGAATGTTAGAGATTCATAAATGTTATTAAAAAACTTTTTTATATACTGGTTTTTAAGAAATGTATACTTACTTAGCAAAGATTAATTTAATTAATTGATATTATACATTTATAGTGCATACTAAGCATGCAAATCAGTATGGAGCATAAAAATATATAGTTCAGTCATGAAACTCTAGATGGCGCAGGCTGATGGGTTGTTAATGTAACTGATGATATTCAGAGAGTTAAACGACTTGGCACAAGCTGATTGGTTCATGCTGCATATGCAGCCAATGAGCTTACTGCCTTGCATTTATATGGCTGGCTAGCATTCACTAGAGATTCCTGCAGCGCGCTTTCAGAGTTTCTCTGAAACCCTCCACCTTCCCCAGCTCCACCTGTATAGATCTGCTACGGGGTTATTTTATATGCTATTTGTGCAGCAGCAGTATGTCTTAAATACTCACGGCACCGTATCGCCGTATGCATTGGCAGTAGCAAGTTCCTGTACTTGCTTGCAGCAGCAGCAATAATCTACAACTACAGCAATAACCAACAGCAGCAGCAATTCAGCAGCAGCAGCAGCATAGCAGATCTATTCTGCCAAGACCAAATACATTAACATTGTCATATCCATCACCATGTTAAATCTTCCGAGAGTTGTCATTATTGAAATACATATTGCAACATGCAAATATTGGGTAAAATAGCTATTTATATGTACTGTAGAAAGAAATTAATATTTTAATTCAGCAAGGATGCATTAAATTGCTGTAAGATGTTTAGGCCTATATCATGATGAAATTCATTATATGACAACAAGTATAATTTTTGCTTTAAAAAACCCTGTATTTGCTCTAAGCATATAAGCATTGAAAACACTGTATGCATTTTAGAGCAGACCACTTTGGTATATAAGAAACTGCACAAGTGCATGAATTTAGTTATGCAATTCAATTTCATGCATCATTGCATTCTGAAATGCCAGAAAGCCATTCATAAAGCAATGCAATTACATGTGCATTTTCAGTATTGCCACAAGGGGAGCTGCAGTAAACAGCAGCAAGTTTTCTCTGTCAATACTAAAACTAACTAAATGTGTGATGGCCCTAGAAACAACTGATCATATGTATTTCAGTTCAAATCAATATCTAGCATATAGCACATGCTAAGTCACTTATTTAGCATGCAATTTTAATAAGCATGTAAGATAGTAGGTACAATCACAATCCCAGCTTAACAGGGAACACTGTCCGAACTTCCTTAAAGGGGTCATATGATGCTGCTAAAAAGAACATTATTTTGTGTATTTGGTGTAATGGAAGGCCAACCAAAGTAGTTTCGCTTTCACAACGAAACACAGCGCCTTCATGAATAAAAGTTACGCCTTCTTTCTTTGCTTGAACATTTGGGCGGCGTTATGCAAATTTTCCCACATAGTGAGGTAGATATGTAGGGGCATTTTAGAACGAGCCGTTTTAGGTAGGTGTGGCTGACTCTTAACTTTTATAAAGAATATCTCTTTGGATTTGAGACTTTAGTCTTTGCAAATTTACAGATCTTCTTTATGCACCAAGAGCTTGTAACACTCCAAAGAGAAAGGAAAAAATGAAATGGCATCATATGACCCCTTTAATGTTCTGGCAAAGTTCTTTCAAAGTTATAAACAAACATTTGTACAGTCATGTTAACAGAACATTCATTCAAGGTTTTCTGGTCTTTAATGGCATTCTCAAAATGTTAGCACAAAAACAATATCTGTATATGGAATGTTTCTCTAAAACATTTTAGTTTAATATTAGTCTATTTTTAAATGTTGCTACTTGT